CCAATGGGCTTCGTATTTGGACTTCAAGCCTTGGAGGTAGCAAGATACTCAGCAGAAGGTAAAGAGGAGTGCTGCCTTCTGGCATCATAATGTGTGCCTGTGTGCGAGTGTGCACCGACATAGTACTGTGCAGTCCTTGAAGGTGAAAAATAAATACATGTATAACATCAGGGTCCTGGTTAATAGTCATGTTATTAGACTGCTTGTTTGAGCTGTTCATACAATCCATGAAACTAAGAATGCCCTTTCATTGGTGTCTACTCTAACTACATTCCATTTTCAAAGGATCCACTGGCAACAGTAGGAATAAAGGGGCAGAAATGAAGGGAGTAGGAGAAAACAGACATTTCTGATGTAATTTTCTTTTGTATGTCTCTTATTTTCTGGGTGTATATTTATCTGAGGCTTTCTGGAACCATACAACAAGTTAAAATCAAACATGGAAAAGCTGAAGTTCGCCCAATAAATATGTTACGCTTCTTAACTTACTCCATGTAACTTAAGAATTTATTAGATTCTTTAATTCTTTACACTTGGTTAGCACTTAACTCTTTTTCTCAATATGGAAGTGAGAAAATTTGTGAAATATTTAATTTCAAACCCTCTATTTATTGCAGTGTGAGTTTTGATAGGGAACTTTGGTGATAATCTCTTTTACATTTTCCTTGAACTGAGATATTTGAAACTTTTGCTTTACATAAACTCATCAGGAACAAACAGAAACAAATATTCTTTTCCTCAGTGATAATATTTTAATTTCAACAGCTGCTGTGTATCTGCTTCTACTGCAGTAATTGCAATTAAAGATTTATATGACTCAGGCTATGTAAATAAATTTATAGACAATAGTGAAGAATGGCTGCTTATGATAGTGTTTGAATTGGGCCATTTTAAGGCTGCTTGAAACTTGGAGTCATTGTTGGATGAATACCATTTACGTGTAAGAAAAATATTAAATAATTATGCCAGGCAGAACATAGATTAGTTGCATTTAAAATTTCACTGCATATACACAGATGGTTTGTGATTGAATTTTATTTGCTAAGGTAAAGGAGAACTATAAACATAAATGTGCTTTATTTTCTTTGGAACAAGTACAGGGAACTTATCTTTTATGGTAATCCTAGGTGCTCGGGTATTCATCATCTCTCTTGTCTTGCTGCTGAAATATAGCTCTGTATGTCGAGCATATAAAAAATATTCTGCAGAATTGCAAAATAAAGATGGTTCTTTTGTGGTTTCAGTTCTGTTAAGGAATTTTTACTGCTCCATACTGTGTAACAATTTTCAGTGCATGTTATATCTGCAAGAAGGCTGAAGTCATTAGTTTTAGGAATTCCTTTTCCTGACAAGAATAGAATTGGCTCCAGAGGTGGCACTCTCAGCAGGAAGTTATTTTAGGATTGCAATAATAGCATGTGACTGAACAGCCTTGTTAGAAGTTTAGAAGACTGAATATAAACCAGAGGTTCTTTTAGATGAATTCTCTGCCCTTAAGAGTAGGCTCCCTCAGACCCTTCCCCCCACTTTAACTTTCCTAATCCATACTATAATGTTCTTCAGGACAGCACTTTTGAATATCATATCAAGTTACATATACTCAGATAACCGTGAGGGTAGATTCTTGTAAAAGAATTGTTTCTTTTTAGACCTGTGTCGCTCCTGGCTGGTTAAAACTTCCAGGATGGTGACTTCCAGGTGAATCCAGGCAGCATCAACGCCAGTCGAGGTCTGCCCCTTCTTAAGAAAACATCATTGAACCTTACCTATCTGGACAGGTTTTTTCCCCCCAATCTCCCTCCTTCCTTTTTTGGGGAAGTTGCTAGAAAAGTACTATAGTACTAGTATTATAGCTCCAGAGAGCCCTGGAGAAAATAGATTATCTGGATCCATTTCAGTCCCAAATTGGGCCTGATTAGAGGCAGAAGCAGCATTGGTTCTGCTTGTAGAGGATCTCTGGCAAGGGAAGGATGGGGATAGTGCATCCATCCTCTCCTTCCTTGACTTCTCTCTCATAGGCTTTTGATACTATTGACCATGGTATTTTTTTTTGGCTTTTGCGGGATTTTGGGCTGGGCAATGCAGTCTTGCGCTGATTTGGCTCCTTAGTCCAAGGCTGGTTCCAGTCAGTGTTGATAGCGATAGAGGTTTTTTCCAAGACCACTTTTTTGAGGGGTATGCCACAGGGTTTGTTATTCTTTCTGCTCCTTTTTAACATCTACATGAAGCTACTGAATGAGATCATCTGACACCATAGGATTTTGAGGCTATCACCTTTAAAGCCATTCATGGCATGGAACCAGATTATCAGAGGAAATATCTTACCCAATGCAAGGTTTCATGGTAGAATTACTTTTTCATCATCTTCATTACTGCGAACAGTTTTTAAACGAAGCAGTCGCTAAACAAGAACTACTTGAACTGGCATTTTAATATTTAATAATGGGTACATTTTTGTATGTGTGCTAATGCAATTTGGTTGTCTTCTTTAAAGAGTGCATGCAAACATATGGGTGGTACATTTATTTTTAATTAGACATTTATTTGCCTCCAGCTTGTCAGCTACATAAAAACCATAGTCTTGCCTCTGGCCAAATTCATTTCAAAACAAAAAGGGAAAAAATATCTGAAGTCAGCATTTGTTCTGACATACCTTCAACTTTTCTTAGATTCTGTGCATCATAGCCATGTTTGCAAAGGCCAAACCAAAGCAGAAGTCAACAAACTCCTTATGGATCTTCAGAGATGAATACAACCCTGCATTGGTTGCAAGTTCAAAATTTCTGGGAAAACTGAAGATGTGGTTGGAAAGATTTTTTTTGAAAGTTAGAATCTGAACATTTTCAAGAAGTTGCTTTCTTATAAAATCCAAACTTTCTTGATACATTAATGTCACAAAATATATGACAGCGCATAACATTAGATTGGTTGGTTCAGTTTTTAAATTGAACAATGTAAAACCTTTTTATAAATATAATGGATATCTGCTATACCGCTAAATGGTTATACAGACCAACAAAATAATATGAAGCATGGGTTCTGATCAGCATTAAATCAATAAAAATATTTTATGACTAAAATAAGTGTTTCTAATAAAGATAACAGGAAATGTACATACATGCTCACCATTTTGGGTTATAGATCTTATAGTTAAGCCAAATGAAATAACTATTTAAGTTGCTCTATATAGGGATATAGTACATTTTTTAACAGAATGGCTAAAATTTTAGTAGCGGTTAACAGAATAAAAATAGTATGCTGGTGCCAAAGATGTGTATAACATTTACAATAGTGTGTTGGAAAACATTTGGCATAGTCAAGTTTCCAAAGTCTGATACATGTGTTGATAATGCAGTAGAGGAATAAAGTTTTAAAAAGTTGATGTTAGGGATAAATAGGGTTAAATAATAATATTTAAACTGCAGATACAAACTATTCCTCTTATGTCTACTTAATTAAATTAAAAATGTAACTCTGAGAATGTTACATGTGCCAAAACAGTCCTGTTAATGGCAGCTATATTATGTATTAATTAGATTTAGAAATCTAATATTAGCTTACCAGGAGCCAACCAGAAAATGAATACAAAACAAAATTAAAATGACTGTTTTTGAACTAACAGGTTGAATGGAGTTTATGTAAAATCAATAACTGAATAGAATAATATTTTGGAGGATTGTGTCATCATTATATTCTTGCATAATACATGAGCATTTTGGGGGCAATTTAATTTCATCCATGATATCTTTATAGTTTTTTTACAAGAATTGTTTGTATTATTCTTGCTATTGATTTTCAAATAAAGTATATTACTTTAAAAAATAATACAAGTTTTATTTTGGGAAAAAAGAAAAGTAAAATTTAGCAAACAAGATTTTATAGTATAGATTTAAAATATGTATATATTTGTGTGTGTGAGAGAGATCCTGCATAAAATATATTTTAAAATTAATACGTGTCAGTGTGTAGAGATTTTGAATATCAATTATTAATTAAAATTATGTAATTATGCAGATTGAATTTTTATGCACATTTAATTGAAAATTCACCATTAAATTTTACCAGACTTTCTGCATTCTTGCCACTGCACCACCACGGCTCCTAAAAAGCATTCATTAAAGCAATTAACAATTACATAGGAAAAAGGGGTGCATTTTACTATTTCCCTTAGTACTGTGGGAGTGGAAACCTCTAATAAATGTACATAAAAAGTTGTGCAATATTGTATCAAGCTTTTTATCCATCTGACTCAAGATTTTGTTCGTAGATTCTGTCTAGGCACTGTAATCTTAGGTATGGATCTGTCTTACCATCTGTTTGGTACCTGATTTTTTAAAAATTAATGATGCCAGTAACATAGAATTTCTAGATGTAGAAGATATACAGTAGCTGTTACAGCATCATTTTAAAAAACTTTTTAAAAAATCGATTTCACTCTGTATCACTTTGTACCAAAGCTGATATAAAGGCAAACATCCAACAATTGAAAGAACCTCTGCTTGCCTGGGTAGCATAAAGAAAATTTGCCTATAAAGTTGCCAAGAGTTGGACACAACTAAATGGTTTAAACAACCTGTTATAAGCAAGCTGTTCTGTTATGTCTACAGGTGCTGATTGAATGCGCTTATTGCCATTCTCTTGGCAATGTTGTCTTATTCAGCACAACTATTCCTTCCTACACTCAGTTTTACTCTACCCTTGCAGTGCCCTCACAATTTTTTTCCCCCCACGTATCTAATTAGGAGGGTATTTTGAAAATTATCACTTGAAAATTAGGTATTTTCATTAGATCACAATGTCCATTTTATTGTTGTTGTTGTTTTTGCCTATCAAAAAGCTAGCTGTCAAAGTGACAATTGGTATGGGAAAGCAGGATGAATCATTAACCGCACTGTACCATCAATTAGTCTGTTATAAGATAATAGAGATTAAGCTGGGCAAGTCTTATTATATATTTCAAGTGTTAATAAGTCCTGTAAACTCCACTTTTTTTCTTGCAGAAAAGACGAAAAGGAATATGCACTGAAGCAGATTGAAGGCACAGGGATATCCATGTCGGCATGTAGAGAAATAGCAGTAAGTGAACACAACAAAAATACTCAACTCTTTCTACAATTAACATCATGGGGATCCAACTAATTTCCATCAGGGGAAAGTTGTAGTGCAGTGCATCCTGCTTTCTGTGGAGAAAGTCCCATCTGCAATACTTGGCATTTAATCGAGAAATTGCTAGGCTAGTTAGAACAACAATCCAAATTAATATGTAAGGCAGCTTCCTCTGTTCTTATTTCAGCAAGGAAAGGGAGACTTAGTTTCACCATTATAAGCTATGATATACAGTTCAGTGCCGTTCTGGACTAGTTAGGAATGTGCAGAATGGATGAAGTCAGATTGAGTGGGAGAGGAGTATTGCTGAAATCAGGCCCGTCCTTTATCAGCCAATAGAACCTAACATTTCTAGAGGGAAACTAGCTGAATTTTGCCATGTTAATTTTAATTGTTCTGCTAAATGTCAACTTTAAAAGTCTCCATAAATTTGAACATATTTGGTTTAAATGTCACATTTGACACCTATACCTAAATAATAAGATACCATACATACAGTAATCCACATTTAAAAGATACTTAGATATTTAAAAATAATTAGATTAATTTCCTAATTTTTAAATTTTAATAGAAAATAATAACATCCTAATTGCTGTACTGTTAATTTACTACTTTTCTAATTTTTAGGGGATTTTATTTTTTGGTATATTTCAGAAAAGTGCAGGATACAATATTTAACTAAACTAAAGAAATGAAAATAAAATAATATGGATTTGATTTAGATAGTAGTGATTCTACTTTCCAGAAAACTTACAGGATACTTTCCACTTATTTAGTAATTGAACAATATAATTAACTTCTATAAACTCTTAACTAATGGAACATGTAAAGGGTCTGTTAGATCAATAAATGATGTAATTTACATAATCTGCATATTTTTTATTGTTTGTGTAATGCTGTCATTACACAAGTGTTCTAAATTGATAAATGATATAATGTTCACAAAATGTCTGGATTATTCTGAGTATAAACTGACATTGTTATTTTGGGATGATGTCTGGTGGTAAATTTTATCTATTAAATCAGAAGTCTTCTAAATCAAAGATTTACTGTTTAGGTGCACTGTTTTATTTGTACCACTTGATAATTTGCAGTTGAGTATATTAACATATAGTGCATTTAAAGGGATGCAAAATGCTGTGTAATATTAAGTCTGTGACAAATATGTTATACATGTATATAATTTTCTGATACAGCATTTGGTTAGTCTGTTGCATCAGTCGGACAAATAGAATAGACAATGAACCTGTAATGCAATTAAAGAATATTATTGCATCAGCATTTTTTGACCTGATTTCATTACAGCAAAACATCACTCTGTAGAATTAACAAGTAATAGTCCTAAGAATTTTTAAAAAAACATGAAACTGTATACAAATGACATTTTCTCACGTTTATAAAATTGTGAGGAGGGTTGGAGTTGCTCTCCTCCATCCTAAAGTTCTCCATATTGTTGGGAGTTACAGTCTGGAAGGTACCAATTTGAAGAAGCCATTACTGTACATAGCAAAACTATGGATGGCTGTTTCATGACTGTTTGATTAGGAAATATGGACTTTTATAACACATCTTTTTAAGAGGTAGGGGAGGTTATATGATTATGTTACGTAACATCAGCATCTTATCCAATCAATCAATCAATTATATACGGCTGCCCAATCACCAAGTGATGCTGGCGGCTAACAATTTAAAGCATCAGATCCCTAGAGGCCAGCTTCATAAACGGTTCACATCCAGCTATCTTTAGAGCAGCCCTTCTGAAAGTCACAATAGCCACTCTACTATCACTACTCTAGGATTAGAGCTGGTTCCATACTTGATACATAGGTGGGCACATCTCCCAAAAGGCTATATATCCATCAGTGTTTATCTGTGTTCTGATTATACTTGCCAGGTCAGTCCTCTCATCTTTGATCTTGGATGAGAAGAGACTTATTACAGGCTAACATACAGAGCACCCATTTGGCATAGTGGTTTAAGATGTTGGCTTAGAAACCAAAAGATTGTGAATGCTATGCCTTCTTTAAATATGAAAGCTGGGCGGGTCAGTCCAACACATCTCGCAGGATTGTTGATGTGAGGAAAATAGGAGGCCACCTTGAGTTGACCAAATATATATTTTAAAAGGTTGTGATAAAAATAAAACAATAAGAACAAGGTAGTTCTTATTAGCAGCATCAGCAACAGCTGGAAGCCAGGATCACCAAAAATCTTCCAGGCTCGGAGGTCATTTGAGGAAGCTGGATGATGAAATCAGTAGTAAACACCAAACATATCCTCCCCATTAGTGCTATCTCCTGTCATATTTCCTTTTGCCTACCAACATCAAAATATTTCTCCCCCCCCCATTAGAACCAAGTTCCCTTCTTGGATTTTCCTCTTCCAAGACCCTAGGGCCCATCCAGCATCATGATACTATACCCTAACCAATCAATAATCACTGCATATTTTCAAATTCCCAATCTGGTACCTTTGGAAACATCTCTTTTTCAATATTTTGCTAAAGCTAGCCTTGTTGCCTTAAACATATATCTTAGTGGACCGTGATATTTTTGATGGAATGTTTTGGAATTATGCCTGATTAAAAGAATTGTGGTTCAGTTTCAAATTTTATTTTTTAATTTCTCTGAATACTGCTATGTGTTTTTTTCTAGTAATTTTTGAGTTCTTCCCATTGTGTGGCAACTATTTCTTTAAAGTTGTGCATCCATTTTGTCATGCAACTTGTGTTTGAACTTTTATTTATACCTATCTCTGACATGAAAAGCATTTTAAAAGAGAATAACAGTGAGATTATTGGACGTAATATTTTTCTTATAATGTTCCATATATTTATCAAACTTTGTGTTATAATATGTTTTATGCATGGTTTGAGATAGGTAATTTTAAAAGTTCCTTAATTAAGGCAGAAATAGTTTTCTAAAACGGAAAATGTCAGAATAACAGATTATAGAACAGGGTTTTATCAGATTTTCAGTCAGTGGCTGTAGATCATGTGGAAACACATGACTATCATGATGTTAATTTTTGACGTGGATAACTTTAATTTCCATATTAAAACTTTATTGTCAGCTCACCCTATAACATACAAATAAGCTATCGTTATATAGTGAACATTATAAAAAAGTGAACTTTATACCGAATAATACTTTCAGTGCACATATGGATTACAAAGATGTTAATATAAGGTTGATTAAGTGAAGATAATATTGTAGCAATTTATCCCCACACTAAGTTCTCACATGTTGAAGAGTATGTGTTGAATTTCCTGAGTATAAGAGGTTTGAGAGTAGAGTCTGCTCCTCAGGTGGCACGTGCTTTTCTAGCACACAGTTCTTGTTGACCCTGAGTTCCTTCTTAATTACCATGGTAGCATATTGGAAAGTTTTCTCTAGGGTGTTATTCTCTGTTGTCATTCAAGACTTCCTGACTTGATTGCCAACATTTTTTTTTTATTCTGCTATACACGAGATTTTCTATTTTTTTCTTCCATGTTCTTGGAAACATTTGGCCAAGTCCAAAATTGCCACAGCTACAAGAGCAAACTCTTTGTATAAAATGTTTATTGGCTCTGATTAGCTGACCTGGGAGAGGGGCAAGTGGTAAAATTCTACCCATTGATTAAAATGATATAAAGGAATCATTCCTTGCCTTTTGGAAAAGGTTTCTTTACAGCAGTTAATTGATCTGTTAATTTTGAAAAATCTTATTTAGAATTAAGCTTGGCAGGGCCTGGCTGGATATGACATCTAGCAGGCTCCATCTGGCAGTACTCAGTACTTGGTCCTCAAAATATGTTCTTGATCTACCCTGTCATTGTATTAACCATAGATATTTACCTTGTTTAGCATACTTTGATGCATATTCTAGAGAAACAGTATCTTCACTCAGCATCAAATGATACAGACCCGCCTGCATTCCTTCTACAAGAAATTTTGGATATTGGACTTGTTAAATGACAAGCTGGCAGCAATTTCATTTTTCTCTTCCGCTTTCATAACAGTAGTAACCTAATACAATACTTGAAAATTGTTTGAGCTTCACTGTGCTTAATATCATTCATGGAGTTTTCAAATCCATGGAATTTGTCCATGGAGATGTCCCATTAAGAAACTTGAATTATTATCAGTAGTCTGGATTGTTTGAGTGTTTGAGAATGGGTGACGAGACTTGGACTTCCGGTGACGAGATATGGGCGAACGGAGGTGCTGAAGCTCGCGCTGGGTTTCATGCTATCTCCTCTTGCTGTTGGAGTGACCCTTAGGGGTGCATGCATCTTGTAGAGAAGCGTGCCAATGTGGGGAGACTCAAGTCGTGGTGTGGAAAAGGCGATTCTCATCGCGACGTAGAGAAACCCTGTGGAGGCCGACAACAAGAGACTGTCAGCAATGGCGGTCCTAAAGCCTTGATCGTTGCATACAAGTGGAAGCGAGTGAGTGACAGACTGTGGTGAACAAAGAGTGCGAGTGAAAGAATTTGCAATCCTGATTGAGCGTTGAATATTGGAGTATCTTAGTCAGAGCGAAGCCCGAAAACAGCAGCCAAAGCAGATACGAATGGCGGCAAAAGCGAAAGTGCTCATGAGATGGAAGAGGGTAAGGACGCGAGCGATCGGACAGAGAAGGTAAGAGAATCGGAGGGATCTGAGAGACTGATAATAATTGGGGGAGAGAAAAGAAGAAGAAAGAAAGAACAATAATTTAATTTAAGGGAACTTTGGAGGATTTGAATTGTGGACTTTGGGGAAAATTGGAAGGATGAACTTGAGATGGGGGGAGACTTGAAGTAAGGAATTAAATTACAACTTTAAATATTCCACGAACGAAACTGAATAATTTACTAGTCTCCTTTTGGATTATTGGACTGGAGCTGTAGTAAGTGGAGAAGATTTATTAAAGAAAAAGACTATTTGAATCTAAAAAATGATTCGTTAAACTTTCAAACAAAAGGAGAAATGACTGCAGCGGAAA